TGGTCTCAAATGGTTTTATTTTTTCAATAGATTAAAATGCTAAAATTCCAGTAGATAATATCTTGACTTTTTTATTTCCAGAAGATTGAAACCAAAATTAGATTTAGATAAGTGATTAATTGATAATTTACCTAAAACATTTAAACATATGGAGGGTAGTACTAGCCACTAGGTACTCAAATCAGATTGTTATAAAGTAAGCATAGGCACTTACAGTTTTTTAATTTTTTATTCAGCTAGATCTCTAGAAGGCTAGAAAAACAATACACTTCGAGTCATCAATGGGTATTGTACTAGTACCTATCTATTACTATTGTACCTATTTAAAACAAAAAATAATAATTATTTATCATTTTGTTTTTGTATACCTAATATAAGTAATAAGTATACAACCAAACTTCGAAAATATTGTATTGAAAGAAAAACTATACCTACCTAAAAGTGGTTAACAAACTGTGTATAATAAAAAAAATAAATGTGTTCTACTCTTTGAGTAGAAAACTAAGAAGTCGATTTTAAGGTGGATAAATCAAGTGCTGGTCTATAATATTATATTATTAGTATTGAAACTGGTTTTGTCTGGCAATGGCATTTTACTACATTCTTTTCTGTTATTAACTAAATAATTTACCCGTTTAAAACATTCCTTAAAATATTAGTGCAATAAATAATAATATTATAATCATGTAAATAGGTACCAATGTGTTTTGGACTATATACAAACTATATAATATAAGTATTAGGTACTACATAGTACTTAGCAAGGGGGTCCGCATGAATTTGTCAAGGGGAGGGCAAAATATTTTTCTTTTTACATTTTTTGTCTCACTATCCTATTAGTTATATAGTATTTTTGTCTCATGTTTTCTTCCTTATAGACGAGGAATGTAAAAATATTTATGAAATATACGTACATAGTTCGTTAAAACTTATTCTTACAGCATTAGTTTTAACTAACTGTTATGCAATTTTAAATTATCAAAAGGAAAATATAAAATGTTACCGTTGATTTTATAATTTTAGGTAATTTATAAAATTGAATATTTCTAATTTATTCAGGTTTTTATACCACAAACTTGAAATGTTGTAACTTGTAACTATTGTAGATCTATGAACATTTAATTTTTTTATCAAAAAAGTAAAAACTTGGTTGACACTGCAGTACATTTTGCACTTGGTCGAACCACTACATTTCATAATCTATAAAAGTGACGTTCTTAGTTCTGTCTCTTAATCGAGTGTAATAAAAATCACTCTGTAAAAAAAAAAAAAATGTTTTTATTGTTAATTTAAAAAAAGTTTGTGATATTTCATATTACAACGGTAATGATTGAGGTTGGGATTATAATGCACTTTGCATTGTTTTCCAAATCTACGCAATACTCGTTTTATAACATCGAATTTTTGGGAGATTTTAACTTTTAAGGTAACGTTTTTGATTTAAAGATTTTTAGTGCATTTTGGAGTCTTTCTAAATTTAAATTTAAAATTTTATTTTTAAAATTTGCACATGTTTTTACATGATTTTTATATTGAATGTATGATCTTTACTCTAAACCTATAGGTACAGAAAAAAAAATAGTTAATTTTCGGATTAAATAAGTAGTCCTAATGACAAGTTCTGTCTGTAAAACTTTTATGCAATCATTTAAAAGTTTGAAATCTATATTAGAATTTACATCTTTAATATTAAAAATTAAATTAATTTAATGCACTATTTAGAATTGTTAGGGCATTTTTTAGTTTTTTTAGAACATTAAAGTCATCAATAATAATCAACCCAGAAAAAGATTATGGAGGGGCAACTGCCCCTATTTGCCCCCCTCGGCACTTAGTACATTCTATAGCAAAAAAATAAGAAAAGCGACGTCATGTGAAAAAAAAAAAAAAATAATCATACCTACCCAGCATTTTTGTCAAATCTACATTTCATCAATCACATTTGACATTTGTATCTAATTAATATGTTAGCTACGTATCTATTGGCTGCAGTAGGCATAGGCGTATAGTAAAACTATACCTATAGGCAGTGGCGTGGCCAAACAGTCGATCGCGATCGACTGGTCGATCTTGGACGATTTCTAAGTCGATCCCCATAGTTAGAATTTATTAATTATTCTTATATATTTGCAATTTAGTAGTTACACTTATTAAATACATAGGTATGTTTCGGATTAACCTGTTAGTGTGAAATGGCATTTTCTCACATGAAAGTTATAATTTATAGAAGCTGAGTAGGTTGGTTTTAGACTTTAGCACAGCGTCTTCGCTTGGTCATGATGTGCAATGACACGCTTCCACATCAACAGTAAAATGTCAATACATTTTAAAATTACTTAAAAATTCAACATGAAACACTCATTTTAGATAACTTAACACTTTAATTTTATTATTTATATAAGTATGTTTATTATTAATATTAAATAATTTTTTTACATTAGTCGATCCTAAAAGAAAAAATATACCTACCTTCAGTAGATCTTAATCAAAACAAGTTTGACCACCCCTGCTATAGGCAGTGGCGTGGTGAATGGGGTTCTATTTCAGCAATAGAGTGCATCTAAATAGGTATGTAAATGTTGAAGGTACATCGTACGTGTTAAATATAATATCCTCGCGGATCCACCGACCTGGGACTCTTCGGTCTTGTCAATATTATAATCCCGCTGTGGCCTGTGGTAAATGTATTTTTTTACAGTAGGTACACCTATTGTGTATAATTGTTATACACGTTTGTTTTGTAATACACCGTGCGCAACGCGGCCCCATATTATTCTAGATTACTCCAAGTTATATGGGCAATGGCGTAATGCTGAAGTCTGTATAGTAGTCGGGTGGCGTATTTGGGGGGGGGGGGGTGGAGGGGCAGTGGGGTCGAATGACTAGAAGATTAATTGGTTTTTATACATGTCATAATAGGTACATACTACTGTGATGTTAAGGCATAATGAATTTATTTTTTTTATATTTTTGATGTTTCATATTATTATGATATGAAAACATATTGTGTTATAGGTAACTGGAGTTTCTAATAAATTTGTTTATACGTCCTGGGGATGGGCGTTAACTTCGTAGTAGTCAGAGTAGTAATCTTATCGCATAACGATTTACATTATCATAACTCACCAAGCCTGGATGAGGAGAGACAGGCCGGGAGCCCACAGTCTTCTCGGCTTAAAATTACATAGAGTGGTAATTTGTACTTTTTATAGTGCCTACAAGAATATTTATTTATTTTCTTGTTTGAATTGTTATCAGACCCAAAAGTGTTATATTCAATAGGGTAGAATATAAGCTTGAGTATAATAATTTTTTATAATTTTATATTAATTCAACTTACCGGCTACTGTTATTAACAATAAGTAATGACAATATAAATATAATATAAAATATCATAGACTGACGAGCCATCTCCTCTCAGAATCTGTTTTCGTATACAGTGATATTATATCATTGAATTACAATTTAATACCATACATTAGTGATCCACTTGTAACCTACTGTACAGCAGAGCAATATCCACTTACCCGCTTTTTTTTTTAATATTGAAAATATATTTTTTTATTGGAAATATTCAAAATAGTCAATTTCTAATTAGTAAATATAATTAACTTTTCATTTGTCAAGTCTTTCTGTTACACCCTGTGGCCTGTATATTCACATTACATATATACCTATCTATAAGTTAAGTAAAGACTACCAATTAAGGAGGGTTTGAACACAAAACATGTATGCCACTGGTTTCAATAGTAGATTAAAATAAAACAAATACACAATGATATTTAATAGATTGAACAATTTTTATCATTGAGGAAGTGTGAAGAATGATGATTAGGTAATTATTAAAAGAGACTAAAATAAGTAAAACAATTTTTTTTTTTCAGATAATAATAAATGTTCTGTTTCATGTTTGGTAACAGTACACAACAATTATCTATTTCAATAGGTACATAGTATTGTATAACATTATCTAATAACCTAAAAATAAATAAGAAATCAGAAAATTTGCGTTTGAAGATTTCACATTGAATTAATTACAAAATGTACACAATTAAAAAAGAAAAAAGTGTAAACAAGCTAACTTAAAAAAGTCATATATTATATTATATATTATACATAGTATATATTTACATTTATATAATATAATAGACGAATACATGAACATACAAGACATATATATATTTATATATATATATATATCAGGCAAGGACACTCAAATAAACAATATCAACAATGTGGAAACAAAAAATTACATTAAAAAATGGTATTTTTTTTTTTAAAGAATTGCACTTTTTCTAACATTAATGTCTGTGAAGGTGACAAATAACATGAATAAAAAAAAAAAACAGTTTACAAGAAGATACAACCCACATAAAAATAAAAAAAATCCAGGGCGAAAATATTTATCTTTAACAAATAAACAAAAACTTAAACTTCTGTAATATTGTTTACAAGACTAACATATTGACTAGGTTTAGAGTCATGGCCACACAAAAATGTGTGACTTTAATTTAATTTTTAAATTTAAATGCTCAAACTTTTAAATTGGTAAAAAATAATCAATTAAATCAGGCTAAATTAATTAGGCTTAAATTAGTATTTCACTGTATTATTTTTATTAAACTTTTATTTTTCTACATAGAAAATCCCAAACACTAGAGTTATGTATAATAAAAACTTCTAAGAAAGTTTAAACCACGAACAAAATTACTTTACTATAACATTTAAAAGTTTTATAGAAAAGATAATTTACAGAGTAATTACACTCTGTAAATTATCTGGACCAAATGGAAGTGATAAAAATATATATTATATTTTTACACAGGTCTGTGGACATAACAACAAAAGGTGTATACATATTTAGTATATACCATCATTAAATCACATGCACACACATATATTATACATTTAAGAATTAAAAATACCGACAATCATTACCCTATATTATTTAAAATTTATTTGCCAAGGTCATCAAAGCACAGGTAATGTTGAAGTTGTTCTCATTGATCCGAATTAGACATGTTAGTGCCTTCTTCTTTAATATCGCCAACTGAAGCATTGATCAATTTGTTATCTTTTAATGAGATCAACTGCAACACTTGTTCGCCATTTTGCCCGGTGATGGCTACCAACTGATGTGGCACATTAATGGTTTCTACTTCACAATTTGATGAATCCATCCCACCACCGGGCTCAGACTTGGGCATATGATGCATAACCGGTGTGACAACCTGAAAATAATAATAATTGTCAAAGGTAATTATTTATCTGTAGGCTAGGAAACTGTACCTGTATGCTACCTTCACTAATTTGTTGACAAACACTTTGGTATAATGAAGTACTTACAGGAACAGTTATCATGCTTGATACTGAAAATACAACACTGTACATATTATTAAATAATCATTAAATAATACAAATAGTAGTTAGGCAAATAGTGAATTTTAGTTTTAATTTATTATTATATTAAGGTTAACGGATCCAGCTATTAATTAAGAGGCAAAAATTCAGGCAATTTTAGATACGTGGCCATACAATAAGCCATATGGAAAAAATCAAATCAAACCATTTCAATAATTAAAAATGACTTTACATTGAGAACAATCACACATTGTACAACTTTCAATAAGAGCAAAAAAAAAATTAATTTAAAAAACTAAATAATGTATGATATTATAACATATACAGAGTGGGCCACGGGAATAGGGACAAATATAGACGGGTTTTTCTCAACGTTGAATGTGAGTAGAAAGGTCTAGATAAGCTCATTTGATCTGTCAGATAATGCCGTTTACTTGTCACGATGGCGCAGTGGAGTGTCGTTCATTGTGTGAAATTTGAAGAGCCTGAGCTTGTTTTGTATTGAACGTCGTGGACTTTGAAGATAGTATTTCTCCATATTCTACGTTTGGGACCAGTTGGTTTTTTTTCTAACTGTCCCCGTTGTTCGAAAACTATCAATCCACCCCATAATTGTTTTCCCATTGGGAAACAGCACCGTGACGTCCGACGCTGAAATGAAGTCTGAATGCGCACTGAACCTTAACTACCGATTCATTGTTTTTTCACAAACGCGTCGTACGCTAACACACGTTGAACGACACTCCACTGCTCCATAGTGACAACTAAACGGCATTAATTGACGGATCAAATGAGCTTATCCAGACCTTCCTACTCATATTCAAAGTTGAGAAAAACCCGTCTATTTTTGTCCCTATCCCCGTGGCTCATCATGTATAGTATGACGTTAATTACAATTCGTGAGAATACAGTATTTTTAAATCTGAATCTACCCCAACCTGTAGTCTTCATCTTTCAAATAGAAAAAAAAAATAACTGACTATTAGGAGTGAGATTTTTTCCATTGAGGCAGGTTTTTGTATTAGAAATGCTGTGTAGAAAGCTCAAAATGCATAATAGATAATATCTATTTTATTAAACAAGTTATTGAAGTGCATGATATACTAAATAACAATGATACCAAACATCTTAAGCACAGATAAAATAAAAACAAATCAATATTAAAAGGTATGAAGTAAGCTAACATGAGAATTAAATATCTGATTTGGATCATTGGACAATAATCTACCTGAAAGTGCTCAATAAATAATATTATGCTCAACCAGGGGAGAGAATCATTTAAAGTTTTGTTTTCTTCATGTATCTTTATTTATACCTATCTATAAGTATGTTTCATGTTTTAATGTTATATCAAATATATACAGCTAAGATTTAATGTTTTTTTGTTATGTTGTTCAATTGTAATTTTATTTAACATGATAGAATTTTTATTTAAGATCAAGATTATTTTAATTTTATTTCTGTATAAACAATAAACATATAAGCATATTTACCTTGTCCATCTTCACCGGTAATAATTATTTGACCTTCTTGATTCAATGTGGCTTCAGGTACATTATTTAATATATCTACAGTTACACCATCTTGATTTTGGCCTTCACCAAGGGTATGAACAGAATGAACTGTGTGGCCGTTTGGTCCTTGGGAAGCATTTATCTAGGTATAAAATATATATATATGATAAATATTTAGCAATTAATTTATAATTTATATAACAATACTTACAACTCCTTGAACATGGGCCTGAGTTCCATCAGGTAAAGTAATAATTGGGTTATTTGGATCAACATGAAATATGGACATTGACCCATCAACATTACTAATCGAATGGAGGAAAGCCGGAGAATACTGTACCTTTTTAAAAATATTCGTTGTAAATATATTTTAAATTTAATTTTAATAAATTTCAAATTAAACCTGTGTTAGTTGTTGTTGTTGTTGCTGTTGTTGTTGTTCCTGTGTATCTGGTGAATTTCGTGCTTCAATACTAGTTGCTTTAGGATTGAATTTGAGCACAGAAGTTACAATTGATTGACTTGCAACATTATTAACAATTGTTTTTGCCTCATCTTCTTCGCTAAACGTAGGCAATAAATCTTCACGACCATGGTATTTATAACAGTTTATAACAATCTGTCGCAATGCTCTTGTCCAAGAAATCTGGTAAAACGATAAATAATGAAAAACATATTGAATATTTCTAATATTAATTACCTACTTTTTGTTTCTCATCCTCGCATCGAGCATCCATTCTAACATTTGCCCAAGGTAATTCATTGGGCCACCAAGGCGGTCGAGTACTTTCTCTGCCCCAACCAGGTTTCCCTCTACCTAATAAATACAATAAAATATATTATTATAGATAAGTATAACAGAACAACAAATTTAATTGGACTACTAAAATCTGTTTTTACATGCAATATTCAAAAAAAATTGTATACTGATATTGAATTTATTTTTTAATTAATTAAATAAATGTGAATTTGTTTGTAGCTCTAATAGCCTAAATCTGGCTCTGAGAATAGTTAGTTGGTTAGACTATATAAAATTATTCATATCATAACTGTACATTTAGCTGAAGTAAAATAGGAACTTCTGTAGCCTTGTGTTCATGGAAATAAATTAAAATAGCAAAATATTTATCCAATACCAATATGTATTTGTATAATACTAATATGAAAATCTAATTTTCATTATCATGTGAATCTTAGTTTATAACCTAAATATCCAATTAAACTTACCCGTGGAATACTTCAACATTAAAGGTATAAATGCTCTTAATTGAGCCTGGGTCATTTTTTCAACAGGAGTTGGAATTCCATCTAAAATGAGCGGTGGTAGCTCATATAGAGTAGGGTCATCAGGAATAGGTGGTGGTGCATGTTGTGCTAATGCAGTATCAAGTTGGTCCATAACAGTGGCACGTAAATTTTTTACCTTTAGATATAAATGGTTTGCATTATTAATTCAAATATTCTTCACTATAAATCTAAATTTACTCACCACATCTTCTAAAGGTTTTGCACCAAAACATTTAAAACCCGTGGTTTCCTTTCCAGGTGTTGCTACTAATACAATTGCTTGTTGGCCAACTCTGGTGGCAAACTCATCAATGGTAACCTTAAATGCAAAAAATTTAAATTGTAAACATTAAATTAGTATGTTCTAATACTAAAAACTCACTTTGAGTTTACGTAGTAACCGATTGTGCTGTCGTTTTCGAATAGATGGATTGGTCTCAAATGAATGTGGTCTTTTTCGCTTTTTTGATGACACAATTGCAGCAGCAGCAGCCATTCCAACTGGTCCTGATCGACACAAACCATAACAAAGACCCCTAGGGTTCGACGATCCGCTATTGCGTTTTTCTACCAGCCAAACACAAACACACACACGCAAAACAAAAAAAAAATAGTGCAAAACAAAATAAAGACAAAACATGCATAATAATTACAAAAATAAACCATTTTTTTTTGTTCTATATTTAAAATAAAAAATAATATAATGACAAAGCTATGAAAATAAAAAACAAAATAAAATCAATGTCAACTGTTTTAATTATTTTTATAGTTATATTATTGAGTATTGCAGTGGTTCCCAAAGTGTGCACAGTCAGGCCCCGCTCGGTAGGCGACATAGGCCCACACCGAGGGCGGCACTTAAGCAGCACTTTAGTAAGAGGGCGGCATTTTCAAAATACTGATAATATATTGTTAGGGGAGGCAAAATTTGATTTTGGCTAGTTAACTATTTTCGCTCGAGCTGGTCCTGTGCGCAGCATAGTCTTTATAGGGGCGTGCTTCCATAGATTTTATATGATCCAAAAATATACTTGAAAACCCGACAATGTCGGCGATGGAAAGAATTACAAATATATAAATGATGTATAATTTTAATTAAATACATATTTTCATATCATCCTTGAAATTTTTTTGGATTTTATTTGTTTTTTCTATTTCTTACGATTAGTCATGTTATGACTTGGGAAGAGCGCCGAGAGCTAAGAAAATTTTGGAAAACCGCTGGAGTATTGTATAATATCAAGATTGTCTAGTGTTAAAAAGAAGCAGTGAATTCAATATAAAATAATAATAATAAAGTGCCAATTGTTAAAACACAAATATTAATAAAAAGTTAAGCTAACCTGCTGCAGCAAGCTGTGCAGTCACATCATCTCCCATTGCTGCAGACATCAAATCACTTTTACTCTGGTTGGAGTCCCCATCGCAGTCATCAGAGGACAAACAACCATCGTCATCTAGATCGCTGTCTCCAGTCATATTCATATCATTTCCACTTCGATCCATCATAATAATGGTTTGTCTTAAAAATGAGCTATAAATTCAATTTTAATAAATCATGTATTAGTAACTCAAACAAAAAATTATATATTTTAATGCCTTACAAGTTGAAAATTCAGTCAAATATTCAATTGAAATCTTTAAGATTGAACAATATTACTTCCCGATAAAATGTAATGTCTGGTTGAAATCCAAAGTGAGTAATCTATGAAACAAAAATATTAATAAATCTTTAGTTTTTAATTATACAAATCTATATGCATATAGGTAGGTACCACAATAATAACAAACTATAATCAAGTCACAAATGTCAAATACATTTGATAAACGAGTCATAAACATATAATAAGTAGGTACCTACTTCAATATTTATACAAATCAACATAATTTTACACATTTCTCTAGATAATCTAATTTGTGTTAATAAATTTAAAACTCAAAATTATATAGGTAAATCTATGGTTGTTGGGTTGAATAAGATTATTACCTAAATAATTTAAGATTAAATACTTAGACATTTATGTTTAAAATAGTAGTTAAACATTTAACATTAAAATCATCTTTAAAAAGAATATAAATGAAATGAAAAATTATATTTGCTTACCCAATCATAAAATATAACGAAAATATCCATAACAATCATGGTAATAAATTAAAAGGTGGTGTACATATATGACTAATGGTTGATTAATTTAAAAATAAAAAAGTTAATGTTTGGTAACAATATTATTACAAGTTTAACATTTTACTCCAAAATATTATTGTATTAATACAAACAGATGCAGAATGAAATATAAGACATGAATGGAATCATTTTAAAAAAGTTCCAAAATTACATAAATAATAAATAAGTACACATAGGTACTTGGTTAAAAAACTAATAACATTAATAGCAACTTAAAGTCAGATAACATCTATTGTTGTTTAAAAGATTGAATTTAATCTCAATTATTCTTATCTAAAACTTAACTAAAGAGCAGGCTATCAACAGTATTTTATTTGTGATAACAAATTTAATAAGTAAACAATTTATTGTAAAACAAAAAATCTGAGGAAGTTTGAACTATTTACGATCTCAATACATAAACTATTTTAATAGTTTAAACAATTATTAAACTACTACCAAAATACTTAAAGTAGGCAATACCAGCTAGTAGTAAGTTATTATTATCAAATGTAAGCACAGTTATTAAATTATTGAATTTACGATGATAAGAGCAAATAAGTAGGTTATCAATAATAAAGTTTAGGTGGGTATAGAATTTTTTTTATCAGTGGTTACAACTTAATACTTACTACTTACAATTAAATAGTTTTGGACATTTTGTAATGCATCGCCGCATTGGCAACTTAACCATTTTAAATTACGATGGATGATATCCAGCAAAGTTGGCGGTTAAAAACTAATAACTGTATTAGAATATTGTAGATAAATATGATGATACGAACGCCTGATAATACAAATAATACATTAACACGTAGGTACGTTTGGGTATTTGTTTTCCAGAAATTTTACTGAACCATAATGGTGATATATTGATGATATACATATTAGATAATTTTGAAACTCGAGACATATTAATTATAAATTATGCCAACTCATAGGACCAACGTGTATATATTATGTATTTAACGTTTTGGACGCCGTCAATGCGATTCAAGACTGTTGCGTATTCCGAGATAACGAAGTAAACAACGCTTTGCGCGATTGATAGTGACGGGACAAAGGAAACAGAACAACATGGAAATGTCATAAAAACGATAATATTAGATAACGTCTACTCCCACAACGAATGAAATTCGATAATAATATTATATTAATTTGATTAAAACGTAAGATATCGTAAATATTGTATTGCATACACGTTATTGGTGAGGGGAAAAAAACCAATAAAATAATAACGAAAAAAATCTAAAAAGCTCAGTCCGTAGTCGTATTTCGGGGCACAAGATGCGTGGGGGGGAAATTCGAAAATTCACTAGGAGTGCCTAATCAAGTTTTGTAAAAGGCACCGTCTAGAGGGGGAGGGGGGAGTTAGTGCTTGAACCAAAAGTTTGCGAGACAGGGAAAAAAATTGGAAAAATGGCAAACATATTAAATTAGGCTCGACAATTTGGAAAATCGACGAAGCGTATTTCCCAACTAAACTACTAACAACTGCGGCGCTCCTACTTCAACAACATTGTCGTGTTGATACCTCCACCAAGTACCGCTTCGAATACTATACTACAAGTCTTCAACTAGTATTACCGCCTACAACTACTAGTTGTTACTACTACTAGTTGTTACTAGTTTACTACTACTACTACTACTACTAGTTACTACTACGAGTACTACTGTCGCGGGGTACGACGGCACACATGTATATTATAATAATAATAATATTATGCTGGGCGCAACTCCTAAGGCGCAGCAACAACAACGTCGCGGCGGCGTCGGCGTCGACGGACTTCCTAGAGAAGCACCGCCGCCGCCGCAGCCGCAGTGTGTGTCATGTGTTGTTCGTGCGTGTGCCGCGTCGATTACATTATGCGAGAAGGTAACGGAAAACAAAACGGTCGCGCCCGGCCCGACCGAATATACCGGTCCGAACGCGAGCTCGGGGGGGACCCACCGGTGTGGAAATCGTCGTCGCGTGCGACGAGACGTTCCGCGGGGAGGCCGAATGAAAAAAAAAATAAGCCCAAGTGGCGGCACGCATGATAATACGTATTAGAATCGACGCGACATACCGATGGTGACGATAATGAATATTACCAGAGTACGGCTGCGTACGCACCTGCGTGACGGGAGAACGGCGGCTGCGGCGTCGGCGTCGACCACAACGGCGGCGGCGGTGGTGGCAGTGCCCGTGTTGGCGGAGTCCATCGCCCGTACGCGGCGCGCGCGAAAAAACCGTCGACGGCGGCACGCCAGCACCCCGTCCGGCCACAACTATCAATTGGTGGCGACCGATCGCGTCTTTTTCACCGGCGCGGCGCCTTTGAAACGGCCTCGTTCGTGGACACGGACGGCGCGTGTACGGAAAACCACTTCGGGGTACGTAACGCGAACAGAGGGAAAACTGATAGTGTGATGTAACGATGACAAAAAAAAAAAACTAGCCGCGTATACCTATATATTTGATAATATGACGTTATATGCGTATGATTATTTTATGTATATTATGGTTTATATTGTATAATGGTGTACGTGTGTATTATACCGTGGAACACACGCACGTCACGGGGACGCGGGCTGCGCGTTGTTATCGATCGGCCCCGTCCGTCCGGCCAATCGATGTCGTCGCCATTTTGGTTGTTCAGCCGTCGTCGTCTACCGTCGTAACACTCGTAGCAGCAGCAGTCGTGGCCGCCGCCGCGGGTCGTGCCGTGCTGTGCAAATGTGCAATCCCGCTAGACCCTTACGACGCGGTGGATTGCCTGCCGTCCACGCTCCCACAGTCTCATTCGGGACGTGGTTATTATAATATTATCATATACGATACGCTCGTATTATGTAATATATAATAATAATATTGTTTTATATTATTATACAGCGATTAGAGGTATAATTATAATAATAATAATAATATTGTTTTTGTTGCGATAACGGTTTTCAGTAGTAGTCACTAGTCGTCGGCGTTGTCGTCGTCTTCGTCGTTGTCGCAATTAAATACGCGTCTGCGCACCGACCCGTTCACGTCACTTTCGGATACTTCGCCGCCCCAGCGACACGTCGCGCCACTCGAGACAGTTCCCGCACCAGTACGGCCGTGTCGTCCGCGAAAAACCGTTCGCCGAAAACCGCGGGCGCCAGATTGTTTTCCCCGTTTAATCGTCGTTTCGACACCCAAACACTTGTGAGTGTGCAAGACGTAAACACGCGCGCGCGTCGTAGTTGGTAGGCCGTGCGGACCCGTACGTGTCGGTGGTTACTAGTTTTGCGCGCTTCAAGACGTGCTGAGCCGCGGCAGCCAGAAGACATTTTGTCACTCGCCATACGCCATTGGTGCGCGCGCTCCGCCATCTACCGGTAAATGAGCTCATTCTCGGTTTTGTTTTACCCGCCAAATTTCGAAATAGTATGCCTAGTACCGTTTCCTTGGGTCCGTTGAGTTTGTGATGACCTTCCAGGCTCTGAGGACCTGTCGTTCCCCCCGAATTAATAATTTATTATTTATTCCCTGTACAGTAGTAGACCTTTGTACAAATTATTTTGTGTGGCAAGACTTGCTGGAAGTGAGGTATATTATGGCGATCGACGTGTGCGGAACTAGACGCAGGCAAGTGCTGCATTTCGCTCGAGACAGATCGCCTTGCCGCACGAACCGCACATACTATTTTTGTCGCGCCTCTGCATTCATCGATCAGTGTCTCAGGGTTTGATACTCTGGTTGAGCAGAGGAAAAGTCCGGTACATTTGCAGAATTCCACTTTTGGGATTTCATTTTAGCACTATAGGGATTCCTACTTTACCGCCTGTTGGTCGGATAATGGTCGCTTTCCAACGCTTCAACCGTCATCAAAAACTAAACTTTCGGTGCTGGCGTGACAAAAAAAACTATTCCGGGATGCTATCTGAGGAATTCACTAATAATTAGCTTTGACGTCACATTGTATCAGAAAGATTTATAATTGTTATTTGTTAATTAATGTTGGTGGGGTCGTTATTAAAAAATATTATATAACCAACTAAATTATCAAATGCCAACTATAAATTATTATTTATGTTTTGGGAGATAATTTTTAAACATTTTCAATTTGAGAAATGGATATGTAGGTACATCCAGGACCGGCTCAAGGTATAGGCGAGTTAGGCACCTGTCTAGAGCGGCACTTTAGTAGGGGGACAGCATTTTCAAAAAAGTGATACCTAATATTATTATTTTAGGGGAGGCAAAATTGTATTTTGAAAAGTGTACTATATTTGCTTGAGCTGGCCCTGGGTACATTTGACATTTGTAAGTTATAACAAATTAATTTCACCGAACTGTTTCCCTCCATTTACTACACAAGTAGAATATAATTTTGATTTAGACGTTTGTGTTAAGGTACACAATACTAGGTAGGTAGTTTCAATATTTTAGTACCTAACTTATTTTATTGGTTAGTTGTTGATAACTTAAGCACATAAGTCCCAATAAATATATATTTTAAGTATACTTTACAAATCACAGATCATTTATTTATACATTTTTAACACTTAAAATATCATACTAATTGTACAGTCAATGCCATCTATGATGACTTTTGGGCACTTCATCATAATCATCCATATCATCATCATCATCTTCACAAGAATGTGGATATTCCGACCTATGATTATCGTGTTTTGGCTTGAGTATTTCTAAATAAAAAAATAAAACAAATTACCTAACAGTTTTAATTTAAATGAACAATTTTCAATTTTACTTCTCTGGCAAAATTTTCCAAACCATCCTTGTTGACATCGACAGATTCTATTTGCTGTACAATATCCATGACGACAAGGCCTTTTACAATTATAATATTGTTTTATTGGTTGACCAATTTCACAATGGTCTCCTTGAAAACCAAATATACATCTACATTTGTTCACTCCTTTACATTTTCCACCATTTAAACATGGTATGATACATTTAGCTAAAAATGTTGACTATCTATTAGAATTAATCATTTTTCAAACAAGAAAAACTTACAGTATTCACATCGTAAACCATAAAACCCCTTAGGACATTGACATGTGTCTTTTTGTATGCATTTTCCACCGTTTAAACACTTTTCTGCACAAATACCTGAAATTTGTTAAAAAATATGATGAATACGTTTTGTTTTTATGATGATTTTTATTATAGGCAAACAGTAACAACAAAATGAAGATGGTTTTGCAAAAAATTACATTTTCAAGAATAATTTTTCAAAGAGGATTGCATGGTGCTAACAAAAAATTAGATAGTCTCATAAGAGTTAATCATGCTGGAGAACTTGGAGCTGATCGTATATATGCAGGGCAGATGGCAGTGTTAGGTGTGTTAAAAAATGGATTATTCACTATATTATTATCAATTGTTCTTAACTATTTCATTATTTTTAACCATTTTTTTATTTTAGGGAACAGCAGTGTAGGTCCAAAGATTAAAGAGATGTGGGAACAAGAAAAAGTACATAGACATACATTTGAACAACTTATAACTCAAAATAGGGTGCGGCCATCACTGCTATTTCCTTTATGGCATTGTGCCGGCTACGTACTTGGAGCTGGTAAATATTATAAGAAAATAATAATTGAAACTAAAAATGTTTAATTAATATAAAAATGGTATTTATAGGTACAGCACTTATGGGTCCTAAAGCTGCTATGGCTTGCACTGTAGCTGTGGAAACTGTTATCGTAGAACACTACAATGATCAATTGCGAGACCTGATGAATGATCCCGAATCTGACAAAGAGCTTCTTGAAACCATTAAAAAGTTTAGAGATGAAGAACAAGAACATCATGATTGTGGTATTGATCATGGTGCTGAGCAAGCCCCATTTTATGATGCATTAACAAAAGTTATAAAAACTGGGTGCAAAGTAGCTATTGAAGTAGCAAAAAGAGTATAAAGTTATTGTCTATATGAAATCATATTATAATTATGGTTAAATATATTTTTAAAGGATGAATATTTATATTAATTGGTTAAAACTGTTACCTCCTTCACAGTGTGGTCCTTGAAAACCTTGTGGACATCGACAGACACCTGGCGCAACACATGTCCCATTATTCATGCACTGTGGATAGCACAATGCGGTTTTGCAATACTGTCCCATATAACCTTCAGGACACTGACATATTTTGTCTGCATTGCACCAACCGTTGTTTTCACATTTTTTATCGCATACTAAGTCGAGACCTTTGAAAAAATTTTACACATTATTTTACAGCTAATAATGTATTTATTCTTCCCAAAAATAAATTTTAAGCTATTATAAAATAACTAATAAATTATTAAGTTAGATAATCAATTTGTATAAATTCAGAATTCAATACCATAAATCAAAAATCACTGAAGGTTATATGTTATTGTTAATTATAAAATAAACTAAATGTAAACTATTTTATGTGTTAATGTTTTCTGAAAACAAAATACCCGATTAATGTTAACAAAAGTAAAATGGTTAGGTGTTCAAGGGCATCCGCATAGAATGTAAATTGGTATAATTTTCCAATGCTCAAAATTATCTTGGATAACTAATTTCACTATAAAAATTTCTTTGAAATAAATTAAATTTTATAGTTGAACATTTGAACTAAAGAAGAATACTTTATCATAAATATTAAATATTTCCTCCTTTTCACTTCAAATTTCTACTGATGCCCTTTTTTATAGGCAAAAGTGATTATGCTGATGCGACTAGACTATTATCCAGAAACTACCTGTTACATGTGTTATTAATTGTAAATACCTTTGTAGCTAAAGTGCAATATATATTATAAAGCTAAATATGAATGGATAAATATTTTTATTGATTAATTACGTTTGGATGAAGGCAAAGCATGTTTCTTACTTGTACTTTTACTTGTACCTCTAACCATACACTCTTTTCTGAGTTTCACTTTTAATGGTGTATCAGGTAAAGCACGACCTTTTCTGTTTTGTATCAATAGCCGTATGTTGAAACTAGCAATGCCCGATCTGTTGCCGGAACACGGCAACAATATACTGAAAACTGAAACCAATAAATGCATATTTAAATCACAATCAACATTAATATAGTATATATTTTAAATAGATTTGCATTTATTTTTTAGTATAGGTATCTACTTTGTATGTTGTATTGTTGTAATGATGAACAATTATTATAATGTCAACTGGGATAAATAATGTCAAATTAAAAAGGAACAAAACTAGACAATTGTCTACTGCCCATAAAAAAACAAAATTTAGTTTAACTACAAACTTTTAATATATTTTAGATTCTGCGTGGGGGGGCTACGAATGTATTGATTTTACAATGGTGTTGCTTATTTTCTTTTTCTCTATGTGTGTACACGATAGTCGAAATAATTCTTCGATTTTCAACTTCAGAATCTTGTTCGATGGGAATGTGATTCTAGTTAATGCATTGGGGAGGTCAACATTTAAAATTCCCAGTAATTTTCAAAAGCGCCGAGAAAAACAAAAAAAAATTAAGGAAAATCGGGTTTTGATTTTTGGTGTAACTCTAAAAATATCAGTTAAAATATATTTAAATACATAAGCACAATTTCTTTATATAAGCATTTAAACTTTAAAGTTCAATTGTTGCCAAAATGTAACAAATTTAAAATTTAAAAATTAATAAAATGTTCAACTTTTATAGGTTATATATTAATTACTTTATAGTTTATTTACAATTATATCATCAAATATACTTCCTAATATCAGTATAATATCATAGGCTGACTGACCGTCTTTGCTCAGAATCGTTTTTCGTAAATATTATTATATCATTGAATTCAAATTTAACGCCATCCATTACATTGACTCACTTTTAACCTACTTTTTTTATATTTATAATTATTTATTTTTATTGAAAAATTGAATCTGATTACATACCGATACCTACCTACTTGTAATTAGTATTTTCTATAGTATACCTATACTACTATTTTATGTTATGAGCAGAGAGAATTAGTACGTAGTTACCTTTTTAAAAGAATTGGTTAGAAGATTATAAGGAAGGTAATTGAGATGGAACATAGGACTTGCCGATTTGGATACAGCATTTTTATGTAGTAAAATAATGTATCACAGGCCATAGCTTTATTCATACATATTTTGTGAAATACTTTTTAGCTTAAATTACGCCACACAACTATTTAAGGGGTTCGATATATGCAATTTTAATATATTTCGATTATATTTTTAATATTAGGTATGTCTAAATTAATAATTTATAGTTTGAAATATTTTAAAAATGGTCCTAACTACCAAGGCAACGATGGTTGTTGCGTAAGAACGAGATTATAATACAATATAGAAAAGCGTATTAGCGCGGCACAAACTTAAGTGGACACTTATTTGGATTTTCTTTAATAGTTATTATATTAAATAACCCGTGAAAACAGATAAGGGTTTTCTATTTGTATTGTGAAAAATTAATACATGCAACAGAAACCCTTTATTGCAACCGTGTTTATCCTATGCAACACCATTTTTATGTGTAGGTTTATATGTAGGTGAAAAATCGAGTGGTGTGACTTATAAGCTAAATAATAGACCTATTTCCATTTAAATATTCAACATTTCTAAAATTTAGTAGTTAAAGGATCTTAAACAGTATAAATACATGTAATGTATTAATTTCAAATCAACCAAAATGGTAAAATAAATCAATACCTGGTTAGTGGTTTCTCTTTCTCTTAATGTTTATTAAAATATGACACTGATTCACTTTTTTGTACGATATTTAAGCGTACAGTAGCCATAGATATATCTGACATTATATTTATACAAATAGAGGAATTACACATTTTTAGTTAAGAAGGTATTTATTGACTTTTGTAGTATAGATATTCATATATTAAATCAGTGTTCTTATAATTAAACCTTCGACGATGTTCAATCTAAATAATCATTGTTCGAGAATAATCCCTGTGATAAAATAATAGGTAATAATTACTTGGGTAGATACCTAATATCTATAGTTTACATAATTTTCTAATTTAATACTATGTATAATGAGCAATTTGTATGAAAACATTTAATGTTTTATAAAACCAAAGATTACAAACAATTATATTTGAATCTATATTATATAAATAACAACTAGGTAGCTAATAGGTACAGTGGCGTAGCCAGGATTATGAAATGGGGGGTGTTTAAGTATAGATTAAAACCAAGTTTTTACAGTTTTCGTATATAAATAAATTTAGGGTTCGGGACTTGACTTGTTGCACTAAATATTATCGAAATATGATGCAGTCAAAGTTGTCAAAATATTCTTAAATATATACTACATATTCTTTAATATAAACATACTACAATTTTGGTAATAAAAAACTAAAAAATAAGTAGGTACCTATATAAATAATTTATACACGGGCTTACTAATTTTAATATAGGTAGGTACCTATATTGATTAATGTGATGGACGGAGTACACTATTGCATGTTTTGTACATTTTTTAACTATTGTGAAATAAATCAACTTGATTTTTAAAAATACTGGAATAAAATACTAGGTTAATAAATATGTAATAAAGAATAACGTGATATGCGAACACCGTAATAAACGAACACGTATATCTACTGATTTTCATTTCTTCGTACAATCTAGAATGTAGATGTCAATTATAGTTTTAACACAGTCTTGTTATAAAGAGACTTATAAAATCTTACATACCATAACTATACGAAAATATAGCAAACCGTATAGCCAAGCTCCACCAACAACTTTAACAGCCCTCCCAATCATTTACTAAATTTTTTTAATTCAATTTTATAATAGTATGGTTTTAGGCTTCGGCCTCCCAAAATATCAAAATTAGAGACTATTGTACCTCACCAAACATAAAGATATTTTTCAATGTTATCCAAATATGATTTTTCCCGACAATTGTATGTATCTGCATTTAAGTTAGAAAAATGCAAAATATGAATAAATATGCGAAAAATCGCTCAAATGAACACTTTTAGTAAAATATGCAAATTCAAACTTTGTTTGATTAGACATTTAAAAAATTTCATAAGACAAATTTATAACTTATCTAAAATAATGCGAGGAGTCCCAAACCCTATAAACAATATTTTTATTAGGGGGGAAAATGTCAATGGGGGGTGTTTAAACACCCAAAACCCCCCCCTGGCTACGCCACTGAATAGGTACCTAGGTAGCCTAGGTATATTGCGTAAATCCTTAAAGTTGATCTACAATGTAGATTAAAGTATATGTATGGGGGCACTAGGGCAACCTACCTACCTAAATCTATGAATCATTAGAGCCACTAAATATATCATCGTCATCGATTTTCAATATAATAAATAGGTAATAATCAATAATCGTATTAATTAAAAATAATTATTCAATTTTTAAATAAATTGTTTGATACATTTATAATAGTATGGACTATGGACTTGGGCACAACTGACAGCTCAACAAAACGTAAGAAATGTACTTCGCTTTATGTGTCATATTTATAAAATAACAAATAATATATTTGATTTGTGCATAATGTGTATTGTATTATTTTATTCAATAGGTCTTTTGTGTTTTGTCATTTTTGCCAAAGCCTACTGCTTTTATAAAACATAATCCCTAATATCCTTACAAAAACGGAATCTGTAGTCTGTAGGTACAAATCGTTTCGGTAATGCACTATACACAATAGGATGTAAGTAGTATAGGTATGTGAGTATGTGACTACTGTAGTTCGATTATACAATAGGTACCTACATTTATTACCGATTAAGGCCATTTCTTTGAAATCTATAAAATCCTCTTATAGTCCTAAACTCTAAAGAAACATAATATTTATGATCGTGATGTATAGACCTTGCTATATTATAATACCCACCTATACCTGCAAGGCTACACACATGTCTTAATCAAAATTGAGTTTTCATAAATTTAACAATCAATAGTCAGTGGTAAATATTTTATCAAGTACCAATTCAAAATGACCTGTAGTTACCTACTAGTAACTAGTAAAAACCTACTCTTAGTCGTAATCTTCGGTGGGTACATTCTGCATAATATAAAAAAAAATGTGTTAGGGTGTTACAGGTACATTTATGTTTCATAAAGATCCAAGACACTGCGGAGGTAGAGGTAAACATTTTTTGTCTTGGCGGTGACGGTGTATTGTGTCCGGACTCATTTTACCTCCACCGCTGTAGTGTGGGACCTTTTACTAAAAACATTTGTAAATTAATATTAATTATTAAATAAATAAAAATATATGTTTAATGTCCGTATGCATACTGCATAGTCAATTTATGTGTCACATAACACACAGTTTAACATGCTTTAGTGAAACAAAAAAATATGGAAAAATATAAAAATACAAGTAAAAAATATCAAAGTTTTTTTTTTAAATTACAGGATAAGTAACAAACAAACATTACTCGGTGCTAATATTACCAAATTAGATATACCAAATGGTATTTCAAGTAATTTTAAAATTAATAAAATGTTTTATGTAATTGGTCATGATATAGTATATGATTAGCAACTAATCAGTGGCAGATCCAGGGGGGGAAAAGGGGGCATTTCCTGCCCCTCCCCCAATCACCGTAGTTTCCCTTTGTTTTACACTGTGTTTAGCCAATTTTGTAGCAAAATGTTGTGTTTTTTGTACTTTTGCCCCCCCCCCCCCCAAAAAAAATATTAAGTTCCGGATCCACCACTGTAATTAACGCCAACACTGTACATTATAAATGTATACCTAACAATCGTATCGGCTACCATCGAGGTACCTACGCTTATAGGTTGAAGAGTCCCTCACGTGTCATGATTGCTGTATAATATTTTTTTTAAATGTTTCGTTTTGTCAACAATTATCAATCATTGTTGTAGTGGTCGTAATTTATTCAGGTGTACCTATTCATACTTACAAAATATAAATTTTAATTGTTGTGTCTGTATGGCTGTAAGTGAACAGATGGGTGATGGCAGATTATTTTATAAATGTATATACCAACCATTTATATATATTGGTAGTTGATATATCATTTATCATTTCCATGG